TCTTTCCCTCTGTCCCTGTGTCCTCTTGCGCCTTCTCCTAATCCTTGCCTAGTGAAAGGATGCATTTATTTCTGTTGTATCGTCTTTCTGTTCTGCTAGAGTCGAAGCTTCAAGGGTAGGGAATTCGTTACTTCCGTTGGGTTCCTGGTGCGTAGAATGGTGCCTAGCTGGTCCGAGGTACTCAGTCAGTTGTGGACGAAGGAACTAAGGCATGTGGCATGAGTGAAGGAGCCTGACGGGGAAGACAGTGGTCACACGTATTAGTGAAGAGTCTCAGCTCCTTTCTTTATTCATTGCTCAGTAAATTATGACAGCCCATACTTCTCCATTTCTAGGCCATGGGAATGACAGTGACAAGAAAAATCTGATTAAAGTATTGTATACTTACCTCGGGGGCCAGGAGAACCACATTGAGTTTGTTTGCTTGCTTTGGAAATATAATTCATATGCCATAAAAGTCTCCCTTTAGGGACCAGCAGTTAGCATAATGGCTATGTCACTAGACATTCATGTAGTCAACCACGGTTCGAGTCCCGGACCCGGTGGCTTAAAACTCACGCCGTGGGTATGTGCGTGCATGCCCAAGATCCCAAGAGGAGAATGGAGGAGAAGGGATTGCAGCGTGGCCATCCCCCCTGGGGGGTGACTTCTCTCTTTCTGTCTCTGTCTCTCTCTGTCTGGCGAGCACACACGCCCTATAGCAAAAACCTTTCCAAAAAAAAAAATGTCTCCCTTTAAAGTGTGCAATGCAATGGGTTTTAGGATATTAACAGAATTAGGCAAATGTCACCACTATCTAATATGAGGGCGTTTTTACATTGCATCATACAGAAACCTTACACCTGTTAGTCACCGCTCCCCCTTTCTCCCATGCTCCCCCCAGCCTCTGGCAGTCACCAATTTTTCTGTCCCTGTGGATTTGCCTATTTTAGACATTTGATAACAATTGGAATTATATAATATGTGACTTTGGTTTATCCTTGTTGAGCATGACTCATCACCTCGTTTTTTCATGGCTGAATACTACTCCGCTGTATGTACGTATACACCGTAAACTAAAGTTTGTCCTTTGATCAGCTGATGAACATTCAGGTTACCTCCCCGTTTTGGAGCAATGGAATGTTGAAGCCAGGGGTATACTGCAGGGCACCCCGACTTCAGATCAGGTTGCTAGGTAAAGTTTATTTTCAAAATGCAAATTCATTAGGTGTAAGTATAAAAAACAAAGCATGTCATCTATTAAGCTGCCATTTGTCAGTCTACATTGGAAACAAAAGAAATTTAATACAAAAAGTAGCTTCAAACCAATAGCATCCAATGGGACCAGCAGTCAGTTGGCATAATGGCTATGTTGCTGGACTCCCATGTGGTTGACCATGGTTCGAGTCCCAGACCTGGTGGCTTAAACTCACACTGGGCACGTGTGTGTGCATGCCCAAGATCCCGAGAGGAGAATGGAGGAGAAGGGATTGCGGTGTGGCCATCCCCCCTGGGGGGTGATTTCTCACTTTCTGTCTCTCTCTGTCTTTCTGGCAAGCACATGCGCCCTATAGCAAAAACTTCTAAAAAAAAAAAAACAAGAGAGAACAGCATCCAAAGCTTCTTAGCAATGACAGGGTCTGGAGGGAATCCCCACGTAATTTCATCTCCAGAGAACAGATTCTCCACCGGCCATGGCACTTTCTGGAAAGTCTGCACACACGGTCCAGCTTTAGCCATGGCAGATGGTGGGGGCTTCTGCCTCCCTCAACCAAACCCAGCCTGACTAGAGAACACTCCTTGCTTTTTTCAAGGGAGGTGTGACTCTAGCATACCAAGTTGATGTTCAGATTTTGTAGTTGTTGTCTTGCCTTATTTTCCATTTTTTAAATAAAAGGAGTTTTTGTGTTGGGGGATTCTTTCATTTTTCAGAGTTTGAAAGGATGGGGTGTAGAAGAGAGGGCAACCTACTACCTAATGTTAGGTTGTCGGGAACGTCATGAGTATTTCCCTGTGTTTTTCTTTTTCTTAAAGAATTTATTTTATTTAACTTTATTTATTTATTTTAATTCACCCAGAGAGAGACAGAGTAAGAGAGAGAGAGAGAAAGTGAGAAAGCAAGCCACCAGGTCCAGGACTCGAACCACGGTTGGCCATATGGGAGTCTAGTGCCCTTAACCACTACAGCAACTGCTGGCCCCTTTCCCTATGTTCTTCTATGCAAAATGCATCATGACTTTCCCAATGAGCCAATACAGACCCAAATATTCATATATTCTCTTCCTCTTGGTTCTCAAAGAGTGGCCTTTGAACCCCTAGAAATACCCTAGACCTCTCTGAGGTCCATGAACTCCAAATTTCAGAGTTTCCAATGTTCTATAATATTATAAGTATTATTTGCACTTTTCACTGCCAGTTTACAAGCTCTGGTGGGTAACCCAGCCAGCACGTTAGAATGAACAGTGGCACCGCCATCCTAGGGGCCACCACGTGTTTTGTCGCCACGCTTCCCATTTCCCTCAAGAATGTCCTTAGAGAAGCCATAAAACGAATGCTTTTATTAAGCCTGGGGACGTTTAATATCTTACTGATACTCCGTGACAGATGCAATGTGCACACAAAGCCCTTCTGTCGCGAGCTAAACTGCAGTGGTGGTTTGGGAGCAGGGCACTTTGCAGGTGGTGAGGACACCGAACCTGTTTCTTCCACGGGGTTGCAGAGTATGCCTGGGTCAAACAGCATTCAGAGAGGGACCCGTGGAGTTTGATGTAACTGACCACCAAAGTTTGTTGATGACATTCAGATTCCACACTGGAAGCTCACCTTGAAGAAGCTACCTCTACCTCTTTAAGGAGTCCTTGTTGAGTTTTTTGTTTGTTTGTTTTTTGGTTTTGGAGAGATTTTTTTGCTATAGGGCGCATGCGCTCGCCAGACAGAGAGAGACATAGAGACAGAAAGCGAGAAATCACCCCCCGGGGGGGATGGTCACACCACAATCCCTTCTCCTCCATTCTCCTCTTGGGATCTTGGGCACGCACGCACACGCACCCGGCGTGAGTTTAAGCCACCGGGTCCGGGACTCAAACCGCGGTCGACTACATGGGAGTCCAGTGACATAGCCATCACGCTAACTGCTGGTTCCCTCCTTGTTGAGTTTTGATGTAGTATCAAAGAATATACACAATCATCAGAAAGGATTGTTAAAATACCCCTCCGCTTTCTACCTCCTTGTCTCTGCGAAGCTGCGTTTACTTCCAACAGAACATATGAGAATCCAGCTGCCTCCCATTAAGCCAGGCATCTAGAGACAGTGAAAATGTAAAACAATGCCCATTTTCTAATCCTTTTGTTTTGTTCTGGAGAGTCACTCTTTTTCATTTTTAAAAATCTGTTATTTATATTACCACGAATTGGGTTTATTATTGTTATTTTTAGACAAAACAGTATATATAAAGAGTATTCTAAAAGTTCATGAAAAATATGCATGGCAAAAAGACTACATGGATTTCCAGAAATCTTTGTACCAGAAACAAACGTATACTTTAAATCCATTTTTCCATAAATGTTTTGAAGCCCCCTCTTTTTTATTTATTTGTTTCACTTTTTGCTGTAGGGCGTGTGTGTTGATTAGAGACAGAGACATGAGAGAGGGAAAGTGAGAAAGCATCCTTCTGGGGGATGGCCACACTGCCATCTCTTCTCCTCCCTTCTCTTTTGGTGGTTTCGGGCGTGTACATGTGCCCAGCATCTTTCTCAAACCACTGGTCCAGAATGCAGACCAGCGGGAGAAGCAGTTGGTGTAATGGCTATGTCGCTGGACTCCCATGTAGTCAACTGTGGTTCGAGTCCCAGACCCGGTAGCTTAGGCGCATATGTGTGCATGCCCAAGACCCCGAGAAGAGAATGGAGGAGAAGGGATTGAGGCATGGCCAGCCCCCCAGGGGGTGATTTCTCGCTTTCTGTCTCTGTCTCTCTCTCTCTTTATGGCAAGCATACGTGTCCTATAGCAAAAACCTCTCAAAAACAAACAAACAAACAAACAGAATGTAGACCGGACAGTTAGCCATGTGGGATCTAGCCACCTTAACCATCTGTTGGACCAATCCCCTCATATTTTAAATTTTTCTGTTTTAATTTCTAATTGATAATTATTGGTAGGTATCGACCACATAAACAAAAGCTTTGGGAGATTGTGAGTAATATTTTAGTGCCAAGGATCCCAGAGACCCGTAAGCATGAGACTGTGTGATTGACCTGGATTCTCTGTGTGTTCGACCCATCTTGCTCCAAACTTCGGTACTTTAGCTGCAGAGCTTCGTTTTAACCTCGAAGCTGTCACTTCAACCACAGAAGTGTCACTCCAGCTTTTCAACAAAGATACCGAGTTCCATGAAGTCCTCTCGTATTTTTTAATTTTTCTTCCTTTTTCTATTGTCTTTTGCAATAGGGAGCTTTTGCTCACTGGAGAGAGAAGGGGGAAGTAAGAAAACACCTCCCGGGGGATGGCCATGTCACAGTCTCTTCTGTTCCATTGTCCCCTCGGGATTTGGGGCACACGCCTTCACACACCCAGTGCCTTTGAAAAACGCATGTTCAGCCACGTGGAATCCAGCTGCCTTAACCACTGTGCCAGTTGGCTGGCCCATGTTTCTAAATTTTCTCTTTTAATTTCCTATTTGGTAATTATTGATAATATAAACCACATAAATAAAAGCACCTTTGGATTACTTCTTAGTGTTTCTTTTTTTATTTTTTTTTTAACATAACCCCATTTCCGAATCCAATGTGTGTCCCTCTCTCGTTCAAAACTTTTAAATCAATTTATCTGTGAGGGGATTCCCAAAGGACCTCATTTCCTGTTTTTTTTTTTTGGAGAGATTTTTGCTATAGAGCACGTGCCCTCGCCAGACAGACAGAAAGAGACAGAGAGACAGAAAGCGAGAAATCACCCCCCAGAAGGGATGGCCATGCCGCAATCCCTTCTCCTTCATTCTCCTCTCAGGATCTTGGGCACGCACGTACACGCGCCCGGCGTGAGTTTAAGCCACCGGGTCCGGGACGCGAACCGCGGTCGACTACGTGGGAGTCATAGCCATTACGCTAACTGCTGGTCCCTCATTTCCTGTTCTACAAGCCTCTCTTCTTCTTGTCCAGGTACGGTATTTGGAAATGGGAAGACCTCCGATTACCTGCTGCTGGGAAACCTCGTGTACACTGTGAGTACGACCCCGGGCCACGTCCGCACGCACTCCGAGTTCTCCACTGCTTCTCCCACTCCCAGGCTCAGACATGTGTGTTCCTGGGTTTACAGTCCCCTTTAAAAGTGAAATAAGATGTTTCCACTGTTAACAGATTATTTACGTTCGATTTTTAAAACACCACCAGGGCCACTGACTCTAAAGATCGTTTTCAGTATTTTCTCTTTATTGGTATTTCTACGTTTTCCCTTTCATGCTTCTGGGTTGGTTTTTATTCCTTTCTCCTTAACTTTCTTTTCCCACCACCGCTAATATTTTCTCACTCTCCTGGGTTTAGAGCAGACATTATCAAATTTGGGTATGTCACCAGTATTTATTCTGGAGGGTCATACAGCTGAAATGGAGAAGGTATCTCCAGGCATTGGGGACACTTAGCCAGCCTGAGCCATGTGACCCTCTGTGTGTCATCCTGTACTTGAGACTGGAGGGGTGCACAGAGGAGTCCCAGCTCTCCTCACTGACAATAAAGTGCCAAGAAACATTTTCAAACCATTTTTCTCTTAAAAGTCAAAAGCACTACTGGGACCAGCAATTAGCGTAATGGCTATGTTGCTGGACTCCCACGTAGTCGACCGTGGTTGAAGTCCCGGACCCAGTGCCTTAAAACTCATGCCGGGCGCGTGTACGTGCATGCCCAAGATCCCGAGAGGAGAATGGAGGAGAAGGGATTGCAGCGTGGCCATCCCCCACCCCCCGGGGGGGTGATTTCTCACTTTCTGTCTGGCGAGCGCACGTACCCTATAGCAAAAACCTCTCCAAAAAAAATTTTTTTTTAAAAAAAAAGCACTACTTGCACACTAATGCCTGAGGTCACACAACCGGTGTCTGATTATAAAGGTTGCTGGACCTTCGGCTCTGAATTCTCCAACCTGTGCCCTGGCCCAGCTCTTCGCCATAGGTAGGCAGGAGACCCCCGTTGTGGCCACCAGTGGCTGGCAGTGTGGGTGCTTCAGCTGACAGCAAAACAAGTCTAATATTTTCACAACTGCGTGTTATGGCGTTCAGTAACAGAAGGATTAGTTTGAAAGTCTCCCTCCCATTGGTATCAACTCCGTGAAGTAGTAAAGAACAGCAGAGACACCTTCGGGGTGCTGTGACTTCTTCTCATACAACATGAATGCAAAACCAGAAATAAGTAAATAGGGAACCAAGTGGGTGGCAATACATCAGCACATGTATCGTGGATGTCTCCTTGGGACGCTTTAAAGTACCCAGGTCTTGGGACCAGCAGTTAGCGTAACGGCTATGTTGCTGGACTCCCACGTAGTCGACTGCTGTTCGCGTCCCGGACCCGGTAGCTTAAACTCACGCTGGGCGCGTGTGCGTGCGTGCCCAAGATCCCGAGAGGAGAATGGAGAAGAAGGGATTGCGGCGTGGCCATCCCCCCTGGGGGGTGATTTCTCGCTTTCTGTCTCTCTCTGTCCCTCTCTGTCTGTCTGGCAAGCGCATGTGCCCTATTGCACAAACCTCTTAAAAGAAAAAAAAAGTACCCAGGTCTTGGGGGAGCACTTTTCTTTCATTTGATGTCAAACTATCTCTCTTATTTCAGAACTTTTTATATAGCTGAAGTTAATTCATATTTACATTTTTATACGGGTTTTATTTCTACAGATATTAATCCTAAATTGCTATTCAGTATCTTGCTGAGAAAGGTTAACTGTCTCACTTAACTCTAACTTTACCACCCCAGGGCCAGGGTCTAAGCACATGCTGTGTGTAGACCAGAAAGTGCCTGCAGGTAGGACTCTCTGGTGTGGGGCAAAATCACATCCATTCCCACAGACTCCTGCAGGTGCCCAGAGGTCCCTTGACTGACCATATTTAAAACTTGCTGTTAGAGGAACCAGCAGATGGTATAATGGTTATGTCGCTGGACTCCCATGTGATCGACCGTGGTTCAAGTCCCAGACCTGGTGGCTTAAAACACACTGGGTGCGTGTGCGTGTGCGTGCGTGCCCAGAATCCCAAGAGGAGAATGGAGGAGAAGGGATTGCAGTGTGGCCACCTTGTGGGGGAGGGGGGTGATTTCTCGCTTTCTGTCTCTCCAGTGAGTCCATGTGCCCTATAGCAAAAATCCCTCTTAAAAGAAATTTAAAAAAAAAAAAAAAACTTGTTGTTAGTTATAAATAAATTGTAATAGGTAGTGCTCCAGTTCTAAGCATTCTTCCGAGTGTTTACTCTGAAAGCCTTCTCGGTCCCAGTCAGAGATGAAGGAGCCAAGATGCAGAGGAGTGAAAAATGTAACTTAGCTCGTTCTTTAACCAAAACGGGTAAACACTGAAGGAGTCTGGGGCAGTGGCACCTGACCCCGGGCAAGTGTGTTCAACCGTCGTGCAGTACGTGAAGTACACAGAGCCGTCGTCCAGCCCTGGATCCCTCGTGCCAGGATGACACAGTCCCTCCCCACTCCGTCCGCCGTATTGCTCTCTGAGTTTCAGTTACTCGCGGTCACCTGTGGCCTGAAAATACCCAACGGAAGATGGCAGACACGAGCAGTGCTTACGTGTTGAATCCTGGGCTGCTCTGAGCGGTGCAATGAAGTCTTCCTCTGCCCTGTGCCGACCCGGGCACCCCTGCTGTGTTGTAGCCACATACCCACTAGCAGGACAGCGGCCACCACAGCCACCACCTCAGGTCAGCACAGGTGGAAGGTGACGCAGTGCAGGGAGGAATGCTGAGAGAGGGCGAGGGGGACCTTGCTCGCAAAACCCTCATGCAGTGCATTGGTAGGACGGATCCAATTGGTCATCGAGATTGTCCGTCTTCCTGTGCCTCGTCTATAAGTTTAACGTTTTAGGGCGTATGTATAGAAAAACACAGTGTGTGCGGGGGGACAGTGTCATCACTGTTTCTGACGTCCCCCAGGGTTCTTAGAATGTGTCCTCGCAAGAGAATGCTGTGTGGCATCACATGTGTGCGTCGTGGAGGGGTCACAGACACGTATGTCCTGCTTTGAGTAAGAACAGTCCAGAATAAGGGTTTGTGTTTCTTTTTTAGTTTTGCTACAGGGCACATGTGCTTGCTGGAGAAAGAGAGAGAGAGAGAGATTGAATCCCCCCCGGTGGACAACCTCCCCTCAATCCTGTTCTCTCAGGATTTGGGGTACTCGTGCCCATGCACCCCATGTGTCTGTCAGTCCACCAGGTCCAGAACTCAGCCTGCTCCATCGGCCATGCGGGGTTCAGCTGCCTTGGCCACCACGCCACCCGCTGGCCCAGGTTTAGGTTTCTGACATCCAGTTATTTTGCTTTTATAATTTATCTTTGTAATTCAGAAAGTTGGACCTTTAGCATAAACGATTATTTAAAATAAAGTAAGCCTGAAAACCTAACTGAGTGCTGATACACGCTCTCCATAGACATTCCGAAACAGTACGGACACTCGTCCCGGAGGCTCCTGGGCTTGGAGGCTGTGAAGGCGAGGAGAGGCCGCCAAGGGCCAGGGGAGGGTGACGCTGCTGTGGCCAGAGAGTTGGCTGATCCCCATCCTGATGGCAGCCCCAGCATGTCACCTGTTTGCTTGGTGGACATACAAAGCTAAACGCTAATGATCTGTAGTCCTATGATTGATTTCAAAGATACCCATTCCTTCTCAGTCTCCCAGTCTTGTAATAAGTTGTCATGTTTATGAAACGAAAACACTTTCACCTTCCGTTTCAGTTCGTGGTGATAACCGTGTGTTTGAAAGCTGGACTGGAGACGTCATACTGGACATGGGTAAGTGTACCTCTGACCACAACCAGGGAATGTCACGGTTTCTCATGGATTCTCCACCATGTTTTGGTTGCTTTTCATTTGAAGTTGGAATGTCCCTCTGTCCTTGTCCACAGATGTTCATTGTGGGGTGTTGGAAATGGAGTGGGGAGAGCTACAGAATTTAGTTTGGAAACACTGACTTAAACTTTTAAGTATGTGTGTTACAAGACTTCACAGAGTGTTGAATATGTTATTCTAGGAACCAGCAGGTGGTGGGTTGAGTAAGGGCACCGGACTCCCACATGGCCAACCACGGTTCGAGTCCTGGACCTGGTATCTTGTTTTCTCACTTTCTCTCTTGCTCTTGCTCTGTCCCTCTCTGGTCAAATTAACATAATTTAATATATGTGTGTATATATAATTTATATCCATTAATTTATATAATTTACATACATTAATTTATATAATTTGTATATTTATATATCTATGTAAAAATATTATATATATATAAAAATGAATCATTTTGGGTTTGGTTTTGGGGTTTTTTTAAGATTATTTATTTTTAATTTTTTCAAAGTTATTATCACCATTTAATTTTCAGCAGAGAGAGACAGAGCAAGAAAGGAGAGTGAGAAAGCAAGCCATCAGGTCCAGGACTTGAACTGTGGTCAGCCATATAGGATTCTAGCACCTCCACCACCACGCCACCTGCCAGCCCCTGTTTTTGTTTTCTAAAGAATTATTTTATTGGGACCAGCAGTTGGCGTGATGATTATGTCCCTGAACTCCCACGTAGTCGACCGTGGTTCGAGTCCCGGACCCGGTGGGTTAAACTCTCACCAGGTGTGTATGTGTGCGTGCGTGCCCAAGATCCTGAGAAGAGAATGGGAGAGAAGGGATTGCGGCATGGCCATCCCCCCGGAGGGAGATTTCTTGCTTTTTGTCTGTCTGTCTTTGTCTGTCTTTCTGTCAAGCACACGTGCCCTATAGCAAAAACCTCTCAAAACAAACAAAAAGGAACTATTCAACTTTATTTATTTACATGTATGTGTGTAAGTGTGTGTGCATATATATGTATGTATGTATGTATATATGTATATATGTATGTATGTATGTATATATATTATTTATTTATTCCTATATTACTAATATCCCTAAAGTGGGAAGACTGTAAATTTATTTGACTATGAATCTTTTCTTAGAGGTGTCAGAGACAGGCATTCTTTAGAAAACCTACTGGAAAATGCTTGTGAAAACCATTCATATTAGTAAAAGGCATGTGTAAATGTCTGTTCTGGATAAAACAAGCTCCATTTTGGATCCATGAGTTCTGCAGCGCATTCCCAGCTAGCTAGAGAGACCAGTCTGCGAAGTCACTGAGGTCTGGTGCTCGGGGGAGACTGGCCTGGGGGGTTGAACCCCTCATCCTACAGATACTGTGCTCTCAGTATCTAAGATCTTTTAGCGCGAGCCTGGAAGGCAAAAATAAAGATGACAGAGGGTAAAAACAGATAAAGGTAAGAGGAGAATCCCCAAAGGAGACAGAGAAGGAACTAGGAGCTCTGAATCCTAGGACCACAGTGTCACTCTGGGGAAGAGGTGAGCACTTCATGAAAGACCCAGTAAAAACACCAACGAGGTGCACACGCGCGTGGTCCCAGCCACTCAGAAGGCCGAGGCAGGAGATGTGACACAGGAAGACCCTGCCTGAGGAGTAAAGCCACACAACGCAAATGCACACACACACACACACACACACACACACATACACACACACACAGACAAAATAAACACACACAAAGAGGCAGAAATTCGCATCAGTCATAGCTTCATGATAGAACAAGGGACTTGGTGCCCATTGCATTGGGGTTTGTTTAGTTGGGTATTCAGTCTGCTTAAAAGTCTTCTGACTCCAATTTTCCTGCTCCGCAGTTCAGCCACATCGCCATATGGGGTAGCATCGCTCTCTGGGTGGTGTTCTTTGGAATCTACTCGTCGCTGTGGCCGGCCGTTCCGATGGCCCCCGATATGTCGGGAGAGGTAACGTGTGGAGTAACATTTTGGATTGAGACCTTAAATGCTGGCATTTAGTAATGAGCCTTCACCATTTGGCGAGATGTTCCTTTTATCGATTTATGTTACAGTAGTATTTGACTGCGTAAAAGCTATTTTTAAATTCCACGGTTGCGAGTGATAAATCTTGCTAGTATTTTAAGCTGGAACATTTTCCTTCAGTCTGACTTATCCTTTCATAAACATAACTGGGACGATAAAATAGTGTTGTCAGGAGCTTGAGTCATTTTAAGAATATACAGAAGATGCTGTTTTTAAATTAGGCTATAAATCTGCAGATGCGTTGTGGATGAGACATTTGGGGAAGTGGTGAGTCTCTATCGTGGGCTGTCTGTCATTTCTTCTGTTACGTCTTATTTTAAAGAAAAGCCTGGTGTCCCTGGGTTACATGCACTTTTCGAGTTGTCTTAATGCCATTGGTTTGGTTTGCATTTTGAAAGAATTAGGACCTCTGGCATTTCAGCCTTATCATAGTCCACGCTCAATCCGTCTTTCGGTTTCTTGTTACACTGGTAGGAATTGAGTTATTAGGTGTTCATGGGGGGGGAGTGTCAAAGATCTCCTTTCCTTCAGAAGAGATTCCAGCAGTAGGAGGGTTGATGATTTCAATTGCAGGAAATTTGACATAAAATGTATAAAAGAAAATGTGGAAAACATTTGGGGATTTCCTGTGACCTCACAGTACCTTGCAAATCCAGGTAACGTGAGCTCCGTTACAGCGCGTCAGCCTGCCGCGGGTGGGGAGCCCTTTCCAGTGGTCGCCCCTGGGTCTTGCCTGAGTCCCTTTCATTTTTGACAGCCTGGTTTATTGATCATGTTCATGAAATTTTATCTGACAGCATCCTGCTTTGCATAAATTAGCAGAATGCAGATACATTTTTAAAAATTGTTGTGGTTACATTTATGAGAGAAGGGCATTTATACTATTACAATGAAACCAGACGTCTGGGGGAGCGTGTTCTTCCTTCCAGTGAAAGTAAAGGCTTCTTTTAAAACATACACTGTGCACTCTAAAAAAATGGCAGTGTGCGTTTTGAGGAAGACAGAGCTGTGAATGCATCTCCTCCTCACCTTGGTTTTAGTCCTGTCTTCTGAAAAATAAAGTCAGAATATATGTATACACACACACACACACACTCACACTCACTCACACTGATGATACCTGCTTAAAATAGCCAGTTTTAGGGACCAGCAGTTAGCGTAATAGCTATGTCGCTGGACTCCCATGTAGTCGACCATGGTTCGAGTCCTGGACCTGGTGGCTTAAACTCACGTTGGGCGCGTGTGCATGTGTGCCCAAGATCCTGAGAGGAGAATGGAGGAGAAGGGATTGTGGCGTGGCCATCCCCCCGGGGGGCTGATTTCTTTCTCTCTGTCTTTCTGACGAGCACACGCACCCTGTAGCAAAAACCTCTCAAAAAAAAAAAAATAGCCAGTTCTAGTCTTTGTTCATATATTTTTTAATTTTATTATTTATTTTAGATTTTTGCCATAGGATACATGCACTCACCAGAAAGAGATAGAGACAGAGACAGTAAGAAAGGAGAAAGTGAGAAATCATCCCCTCCACCTGGAGGATGACCACACTGCAATTCCTTTTCCTCCATTTTCCTCTCAGGATTTTTGGGCACTCACACCCTCACACCCAGTGTGATTTTCCAGCCACCAGGTCTGGGATTTGAACCGTACAGCCAGCCACAGTGGGATCACAGTGCCTTAACCTCTCTGCCACCTGCTGGCCCCTCTTAGTTTCTATTTGATGTGCCCTGTCTAATTGGAGCTGCTTTTCCCTGAAATCAATTCTAACTTAGTATATTTGGCTCATTTTATCTCATTTCTTAATGTGTTTGGCTTCAAAATAAACAACAGGGAAGATTTTGTAGACCCAGATCATTTGAGCAACAGTGACCAGTAGGTTTGATGACAAGAGCCAGTTTCTGACCACCTACTTATAGGACAAGTGCGAAATTTGACCGGCTTGTTGCCAACCAAATACAATTCTACCCTTGCTACAGAATCCCCAGTGGTACCCACACAAAACTTAATCTCGTCTTTGGGACCAGCAGTTAGTGTAATGGCTATGTCACTGGACTCCTACATAGTCGACCGCGGTTCGCGTCCTGGACCCGGCGGCTTAAAACTCATGCCGGGCGCGTGTGCGTGCATGCCCAAGATCCCGAGAAGAGAATGGAGGAGAAGGGATTGCGGCGTGGCCATCCCCCCCTGGGGGGGTGATTTCTCACTTTCTATCTCTCTGTCTCTCTCTCTTTCTGGCAAGTGCACATGCCCTATAGCAAAAACCTCTCCAAAAAAAGAAAAAGAAAAAAAAAAAACTTAATAGTGTCTCAGAAGACTTGCGGTGATACTGTGTTTAATTCAAAGTGAACCAAATGTCAGGGCTCCATCGCTTTTCTGTCCACTCCAAATACAGTGGGAAATGCTGACCGGGGCCCTTTCTCTGCTTGCTTTATTACTACTGCTCCTTTGATAGTCGTGTTTACATAGCTAAAATGTGAAGAATGGATTCATCTGGCTATACGTTTTACTAGCAGACAAAATGCGAGTCTATTTGATTCATTCACTGAAAATAATAAAATCTAAGCATATGTAGCATTTCAGCACTCACCAAGTATTTTGGTGGGTGTGTATGCGTGCGTAAATGAGCCTCAGAACAACTTCAAGGGTAAGACAAGAACACCTCTCAGATTCTTAGAATAGGTATCTCCATTTATTGTGTCTTGGGTACCATGGTAGTAGGTCCCCGAAACATCATAGCTATATTTGATTCATAATGTTTTTACTGTGGGTATGGAGCAGGGGTCCCCAACCCCCAAGCTGCAGACTAGTGCCAGTCCACTGGGCCACACAGCAGGCCTTCATCTGTGTTTACAGCCTCTCCCCATTACCCGCAGTGCCTCCCGGGCTCTGTGTTTATAGCCTCTCCCCATCACTCGCTGCTTCCTGGGCTCCACCTCCTGTTCGATCTGTGTACTATTGGATTCTCATGGGAGTGTGAGCCCTATTGCTGTGTGATTGTCTCGTTGTATGCTGCAGGGTGGTACTGGGAGAAATGGGGGGCAAGGTGGACGTGGTGCACTTGGTCATCCTAGGACCAAACCTCCCCACCCGCAGTCTGTGGAGTGATTGTACTCCATAGGGCCAGTCCTTGGTGTTGGGAAGGTTGGGGACCACTGGTATAGTCACCAGTTAGGTTACATGGCAGCCCAGTTAATTTCAGAAAGAAGTGACTATCCTTACATTTACATGTTTCTAATCTGAAAATTCTGCATTGGAATCAAGAGTAGAGCCAAATGCAGGGACCAGCCTCCATGGCGCAGGTGGGAGCAGCTGGAACATGTGGCTGACTGTGGGCTCAGGGCCTCAGTTGACCTGGAACATGCCAGGTGCACACATGAGTACCCCAATCCTGAGATACTAGAGGACTAGGGGGAAGGAAATCACAGCATGACGAGAGCCTGTCAAGGGTCTCTCTCTCTCTCTCTCTCTCAATCCCTTTTCCCCTTGTCCTGGCCCACTTATGTACATGTGTGTTCAAGCATGCTCTCTATCATGGATAAAATAATCTTTGGGAGGGACCAGCAGTTAGTGTAATGGCTATATTGCTGGACTCCCATGTAGTCAACCACGGTTTGTGTCCCAGACCCGGTGGCTTAAAACTCATGCCAGGCGTGTGTGCATGTGTACCCGCCCAAGATCCTAAGAGAAGAATGGAGAAGGGATTGCGGCATGGCCATCCCTCCTGGGGGGTGATTTCTCCCTCTCTGTCTCTCTTTCTCTCTGTCTGTTTGGCGAGCACACGCACCCTATAGCAAAAACTCTCAAAAAAAATCAATAAATAATCTTTGGGAAAAGCGTATATAGCCAAACACATACCTGTATACATGCACACACACAGAGTGTATATGTGTGTGTGTGTGTGTGTGCATGAAAAATTTGTGCACCAATATTTATAACATACACACACACATATATATGTAAAACTAACAAACCTAGAGTCTGTTTATTCATCTGTTCACTTTCATAGCAATAGCTTCTTGTAATAGCTTATTGCAATATATTATACATTACATAGATATATATTACATATAGTAATCTATTGTCATAAGTACCACCAACATAAGCATAAATCCTAACATCACTGCCTTGACTGGTTTTATGAGTCATGATCCCTAGAAACACAGACCCTGGAACGTAGGTTATTCCGCAGTGTGGTGTATAGGGAACTTTCTGTCACCACCACAAACAGAGTCGAGGATGTCTACCCAAAGACTACTCCCAGGATCCCAGTTCTTTCCTGTGTTTATGTGGCAATAATTCCTTCCAAAACCACATACTTCACTAACTACATAACTAATGTGCATTGGTTGCCTGCCTGTTTGCTAAGGGCCTCCAAGGTGACCCAGCACAGAAGTGGGGTAGACGTACTAGAAACAGCAGCCCTGTTCTCTGAGCTGGGTCAGGATAGAGGGCTTCAGAGGGAGAGAGACCGCGTGCTGTTACAGGAACACGGACCACATAGAGGGATTCTTCAGAAAGTCGACCAAGACCTGGGAAGAAGAACGCCACCAGTAATACCTAGTGGTTATCACCAGGCTCTTCTCTACGCACTCTATAGGCATTCATTCAGGTAGTTCAATAACCGGGGGTTTTTTGATGTGTCAAGCACTATTCTGGGCCCTGTGGATTCAGTACTGAATAAAACAGAAACCCATGCCCTCCTGCAGCTCCTTTTTCTAGCAGAAGGAGACAGACCATGAATAAAACAATTAAGTGAAATATACAGCCAGGTGTCAGCAAGCAAAGTGTCCAGTCAGGTGTCCCCAGAGAAACCCATGAGTGGCTTTTACTCGTGTTCAGAGGAGGGGCCGCTGGGATTGAGAGACAGTTGTGATCTGACCTACAGCTTCACAGCAAGACTCTGGCTTAGAAGGTTCTTGGAATAAACC